GTCTAAGTATCTAATGAGTTGTACAATGTCAGGTATAGCCTACTCAATTAACAGGCTAAGTAGATACACGAGTAATCCTTATTCCTATCTTTAGAAGGCGTTTGTGTGTACTTATGATGAAGTCGGGATAATGGATTGCGTAACACGTGATATCCAATTGTACGAGAAGGGCACAAAGGCGCCAACTAGATATCTTGTCTGCTAGTGGACTAGTTTTCACTTTTGAAGGTGCAATCGTAGATGTGTATTGCAAGATCAACGATGGAGTCAGAGTTCAATGCTTCAAATAAACTACTGAAGTAACTGAATAGCTTTGCCATTTTCTTGAGGATATTCCATGTTGATCAAAACTTGTACTAGCAGTTTTGTATATTTTGCAACAACCAATCAAGTATTGGTAGGGCACAAATGGAAGGTCTAGACATTTTCATAGAAGATATAATTCCATACGACAATTACTCTCATGTGTTGTCTCTATAGACTATGTAAAGTCTAAAGATAATATTTTGGATCCGCTAACCAAAGGATTAAATCGAGAGTTAGTAGAAAAGTCGTCAAGAGGAATGGGGTTAAGGCCTTTAGCGAGTGTTACCGAAATGGAAAACCCAACCTAGTTGGCTAAAGATCCCAAGATCTAGGTTCAAAAGGACAGCCTAATTGCATATAACAGGTGAGTCACTGAAGAGATAAATCCTCTTGCACATTCCTTTATACAGTGATACCTAATGCTTTTAATGACCAAAGTGATGTGAATAGTCAACCACAGTATAGCAAGATACCTTATGTAGGTCACCTATGTGAGTGTGAAATGGGACCACTTCTTTAAGATTTGACAAAGCCGAATTCTTTAAAAGTACTCACTGAACTATGCAAGTGTTCCAGGGCCAAACAGAACACAACAGTGAGAACAGAACAATGGTTGGAGTGACTCCTGTATGAGGTCTATTATCTCAGTTTACACAAATGGCAGAACAGTTCAAGATATCACATTCATTGGTTAACCATAAATCCGATAGGTTTTCACTACGAAAGGTGCAAGGCCAACAGCTACCTTTTCTGATGCAGGGTTATTCTATGTACTCTCTCTCCGACTCTTTGTTGTTAAGTGTTGTCTGTTTTTATTTATTCAGCCAATTTTATTCATGTAGGAGATTGTTGAAAAATAATGGTTTTTCGACAACTTTGATTCAAAATTAAAGTGGGACTTTATCACCAGTTGAGGTGGCTCCAAGTGGGGTTGTATTATCTTAAGTAAGAAGATTACAATATATAAAATAATGAGCCAAAACCATTGAGTTGTGAATGAGAAATTGTCTCATAAAGTGAGCATCAATAGAAGTTGGGCTTGGGCCTAGGCTTGGACTTGGACTATAGCGATTATGATTTAGACCCAACCCGTTTATTATTTTGGATCCGAGATTCTTTGTCTTAATGGTTGTTTATGTCCTTTTTTATCTTTTCCTTGTTAAATTGGGTTGTATGAGCATTGTGGTTGCATTTTAAACAAGTTGGGAGTTCGATTTTCAAATGAGTCTTTGCCCAGAATTTTGCTTGTTCACTCAAGCGAAGCTTCTTGTGCTTGAGTGGTCTTTTACAGTCTACAAAACTACTGAGAGTTTGATATCTGCACTTGAGTGAACTTTTACAGGTCTAAACTACTGGGAGGTGTACATTGTACGCTCAAGCGGTGTCTTCGTTTGTGTATTTGTGCTCGAACTGTAACTTTGTTCGCTCGAGCGGTCTCACTTATTGTGTCTGGTCACTCGAGCGGTGTTTTTATCGCTCGAGCGGTCTGCACGTATATCAGTAGTTGAAAGTCACTTTTTGAGTCATTTTCTCATATCTCTCTCTCTCTCTCTCTCTCTCTCTCTCTCTCTCTACATTTCACAACCCCAGATTTTCTTCCTCTCTCTCTCTCTTAAAACCATCTTTAAATCTCAAATACACTATCATCTATTAGTTTCTACAACATTGTCCTTTGAGAAAAAGAGTAGAGCACACCAAGAGCTTCCATTTGATAGGAACAAAATTCTTTTTCGACTTCGTCAAGTTTCAACCCTTGTTTTTCTTTGTCCTTGTCTTTGAAGTAGGGATGTCTCCACAGTTTTGTATAGTTTTTAATTTAGTTATTTGCCTTTCTAAACAATATTGTAATTTGAGAATTTTTGGATAAAATCTAGGGTTTTGGTTTTGAAATCAAAAGAGGGATTTTCAATTGGATTCTTGAAAATGGTTGTAGAATTGAAAATATGATTGGGTTGTGATAAAATGGTAGATTTTTATCCTTGGAATTGATATATAAAGAAAAATGGGTGTTTTTCCTAAAATATGAATATTTGATTTTGTAAAGAGGAAAAGGAAATGATATTGGGATTTATGAAATTGGAATAATAATGATGATGGTGGTGGAGTTGGATGCATTATCACTCCCATCTTGGACTTTTGAAAAATTTATCTTTATTGGAAATTATCTATCTGTTTAGAGATATCTATTTTGGGCTATCGGTGGAGAATAACTATGATTATTGTAGAAATTACATGAGAATTAGGAGAAGTGAAACTAATTTCTCATCCATTTGCATTGAGCATTGTTGCATACTTAACACATTGAAAATGTATATTGTTTTGAGAAAAAAAAAAAAAAAAAAAAAGTGAATACCTTGGTGAATCTGGGTAGAGGTGTGGTTGTGGTATTATTGTTGGCCTGTGTGTCCTTGGTAAAATTTCAAAAACCCATGCAGTTAGGTGTTGAGCCTTCCAATTAGTACTAATAAAAATAGCAATTGGTAGTACTTGTGTAGCCTACTTGCAAACATGTACCTAGAGAATCCCAATGCTTGTATCCACTGCCCTATTTTTTGTTGTAAATGAAATGTTTTCACAAATTATGATATAAACCTGGCATTGCATGGTTTTGGAAAAAGATATGAAATGTTTTGACACGAACATTGCAAATGCATTCACCTGATAGCTTTGTTAAGATTCATACACTGTGTTAGAGTATCTCTATTGAGTTTTGACTCACCCTATGTAGAAAATCATTTTCAGGTGCCGATGATATGCCTCCGCCAAGGCCGTAACTTGGAAGGAATTGGAGCCAAAAGCTTCTTTTTTGTTACTGTTGTAATTATTTTTGTACAAACCTAGGGTTTAAGCTGTATTGAGTTAAAACTCATTTTTGTTGTAACCAAGCACCGTCTTGGAAAGTTGTAGCCATTAGGGCATTTATATATCTGTTTAACTTTTATTTAATACCATTAACTTGTGGCACATGCTATAGATTCAAGGTTAAGACTTATGAATGTATAACTGCATGTGTTACCTTTTGTACAATGAAATCATATGAATGGAAGGATACTATATCCAGAACTGTATTGTTATTTAATGATTGTCATGAGATGAATTATGGTTATTCTAGTCTTAGTCTTGGTCTTGGTCTAAACTGGCCTAGGCTTGTGTATGTGCATGTGTTGGACTTAGTCTTGAGCATGGGCTAGGTTGTGCTATGCTGGGCTGGGCTTGGCTTGTCGTATGCATATGTTTTAAATTGGGTTGGAATCGAGTTGTGACCCAACACCCATATCCATTTTGTGACCTATCTCGTTGGATTATTCAAATAGCATTATATATATTTTTATATATAATGCAAGGAAGATTTTTAACATTTGTAACTCTAGCCCTTATGGCTAGAGTCGATAGACATGGTTAATGGCATTTAATGGTCCTCATGATGATAGCCTTCATGGCTAGGGACTCTCCTATTTGTATAAATATAGGCATTTCCCTTCCAACTTGATAGAATGATTTTGAAGAGATTTTTTAGATGAAAAATGAGATGGTCTTTTGAGATAATAAAGTTGGAAATGGTTTTTATACCAAAATTTTTTTTTCTATCTTCGTTTTATTAGCCCTTTCTTTGGTTCTTATCAAAGAGAGTGTTATCATTGTCAAGTTTGCCGAAACTATTCAGAAGGTACTTCTACTCTAGCTAGTTTTGGCCCTGGTATCTTGAGAGACAGACGCCGCCGTACATCCAGTACCCATCAAGAAAGCGGCAAATTTATTTTAAGAAAGCTGTGGTTACACATGATTTGGTTCGCATCCCTTATCTTTTGTTCTTCAAAGTTTTAAATTTAACTTATTTCTTGTATCGTATTTTGTATGTCTATGTGAATCCATCTTGTAATATATTCTATGATATGATCTATTTCATTCTTGTATTTTTAGTTCTATAATTTATTATGTATTTTATTTTTTAATAATATAAAAAAATTACTTTATCATTTCTATATAATTTTATTTATATATTTTTCTAATGTTATTATGAAAAATACCATCAAAGTGAGCAAAACACATATGACAATTCTTCCATTGTACATTTGTACGGACCAATTAACAAAATATTTAGCTATGAAGGTCTTTGTTTCCATGTGAAAGCAAACTCTCCCAATTTATGACCAATTTTTTTAAACTATGTTTATACCATAAATAGAAGTAAGAATTTTTTTAAAAAAATTGAAAAAAAAATGAAATATAAACTATTTTTTTTATTATTTCCTTTTTCTTTTCTTATTTACTAACCACCATGATGGGATCATGGGAACACTACGTTAGTGATCCAATTAAGAGTTTTGTAAGGAACAATCGACTGATGAATTCCGGCAAAATAAAAGATAAGTGATGAGATTTTCCTGTTCAAAAGAACTCTTTTCTTCATTCTCAAGAGGAATGAATCAAGAAAATTGTCTTTCCATATTTTTACAAGCTTGAGAACTTTTTTGAGTAAAAAAAATAGCCTGTACAAATAGGCTACAAAAGTGAAACAATAAGAAAGAGCCATAAAAGATCTTATTTACTAACCACCATGATCGGAACACTACGTTAGTGATCCGATTAAGAGTTTTGTAAGGAACAATCGACTGATGAATTCCGGCAAAATAAAAGATAAGTGATAAGATTTTCCTGTTCAAAAGAACTCTTTTCTTCATTCTCAAGAGGAATGAATCAAGAAAATTGTCTTTCCATATTTTTACAAGCTTGAGAACTTTTTTGAGTAAAAAAAATAGCCTGTACAAATAGGCTACAAAAGTGAAACAATAAGAAAGAGCCATAAAAGAGAACAAACACAAGAACATCAATAACTTCAGATAATGTTTTCAAGGATATCATGGAGTATATCAATTTGTACTTCTCTGTCATCTGAAAAATACTTAAAACAAACTAAAGTCCTCTCACACCATGATTCCCACTAATTATGCGATTATAGCATTGAAACACCCTCAAAATCTTCTCTGCTTCCAAGTCGACAAAAGTATTTTCAGCCACAAAGTCTAAAGCTTGACAGACATTTTTACGGAGATACAGCCAAGTGAGACATGCTGCCATTTTCATCAGTGATGGTCGTGGCATCGCTACTAGTAGATGAACTTTTTTCATCATCAGTCTTTTGTCGAGGACTTGCCGCAATTGAGATGGAGAGATTGGTGTCCAATTTTATACGACCATTTGTCTTTTTGGGTATAGCGAGAGGAGGAGGAGCAAGGATGTTTCTAATGGGAGGAGCGGCTGCAGCAACTGTCACCGACTGAGTGGCTGATACAAGCTTCTTTGCGCCTCTGTGCAAGTGCAGTCCACAATACTTTTGGTAAGGTACGACATCTCTGCTACATCGCCATTTCTTGCCGTCTGTTCTTTTGCATCTTTGCAATTCAGTTTCTAGGACATTCTTGTAGCCAAGGCATGAGCTGCTGCAGCCTACAACTGCAAATAATGGCAAAAAAACAAACCAACCTCATTTGTATTTTTTAAGAAGCTCTCAGAGAAAAATAAATTTGCAATACTGCCCTAAGATTCCAATTTGTCAAGTCTTTCAAAGCAATCCAACAGAACAATGCTATGGAGAAGAAATTCAAACACTTCACACAGAGTTTACATCTCTCTTGTGTTCATCATCAACACCAAAAAAAGCAACATGTAATATTATAGGCCAAAGGGCTTGTCAGATTATGTTGTAGAGGATTTTACCACCCCCCACCCAACACACACACACACACCCACAAAAAAAATTTTAAAAAAATAAATAAATAAAGCAGCAAGAAGAATCAATCACAAACAAGAAAACACAATACATAGATTTACAAGGTTCAGCAACATTACCTACGTCCACAGCTCAAACCAGTTCCACTAAGAAGAGAAAACCACAATGCAGCTGATGTGAAACAATAATATATATGCTAGGGTTTACATCAACAAGTGTACAATACTAATCAGAGTCCACAAACCCAAGATAGGTCACCAAGTCAGAGGGTTGCATGCAACCCAAAGAAAATAAATTAAGTCTTCTTGAACACACTTTAAATCATTTTCCTTGGGAATGAATGACAGAAGAAGACTTGCAGTCATCAGAACTGATAAAGAACTCAAGTATTCCTAATGGAATAACACTACTTAAAGCCTAATCGGAAATGGAACAGATTGTATGAAATAGTGACAATAAGCATCCTGGTTATGCAGGAAGGCATCTAGAAAACAATGAACAAACTACTGAAACAGATAGCTTTTTCACAAGCACGAATAAAGATTCCTTGAAGTTGAATGGGATATGCCCACATCAAAATAGTTCAAAATCATTGCAAGGTGGGGTAATGTTCAGTTTCCACTCAATGATAAAAGGCGTACCCCACAACTTTAAGGCAATGCATTTATAAAGCAAGTTTATGATTCCAACAAACAAGCAATTCTGATACTAAAAAAGTAAATTATAAAAATTTCAAAGAAGAGATTTGCTATTAAACATGATCAATTCTAAGCACGTTGCATTTCATATCAGCTCAAACTGTAAACAAAAATTAAAAAATCACTATTAAGCATAATCACCAAAGAAGCAATCACAAGGTCTAAATAATCTTGGCCTACAGGAACCCTCATCATTCAACATTCCAATCTCAGGTGTGTAACCATCGATGGGACTTTTTAAAAATCAAGATTTTTTTTATCACCTTTGGATAAGGACTCCCTCAATTTAATCCTACCAACCGAAAACACCACTAACAGTGCTGTAACTAAAATAATTCAAGACCTCATAACTGTCCTCAAAAGCCCATGAAGAAAGAATTATGAGGAAAGAACTAAGATGGTGTGTGTCCGTGTCATATATGTGTTTAACGCCAGCACTCGTCCGACACTTCTGACATGTTTTGGCACAAATCCAAGTGTGCTATATTATTAATTTTTTTTCTAAAAAAAACTCATGCGCACTTCAGACGCATTGGGTACATACATGTCCATCAAACACATGAAATACATTTATAAATTTGAAGAACATAACTTAGACGATTTATAAAGAACATAACTTAGACGATGCAATGATGAAAGAAAAACAACATAAATTTATTGCTATTAATTTCTCTTTCTTTTAAACTTTAGAAATTAGTGTTACATTACATTTTTTATTATCTTTGAAAGAAAGAAATATTTATATATATGATATATAATACATATATAAAACCATATATTTTGTGTGGGTCCCCCACATGTCATGTTTTCCTTTTTTTAAAAAAAATTAGCGTGTCAGTATGTCCATGTCATGTTGTGTGGCGTGTCTGTGCTTCTTAGGGAAGTATAAATAGAATTAGAAATTCAAATTACAAAGGTTACAGTCTTATGTGCACAACCTTGAAGAACACTCTTTGGAGAGAAGCCAAATCCGGAAGCTGGTAAACTTCCAGCGTTGACGTTGTGTCCATCGTTGATGCTTCTTTTGCTGTTGATCCTGTTATTGTGATGGTTGTAGCTGGCATTGTTGCCATCAACACAGTCATCGTCTCTTCTTCTATTGTTGTGGTCAGCAGTAGCACTCATCAGACCAGTGGTGGTGGTGCCTTCGCTACCATAAACATTTTTGTTCCTTGCAATGTTCCTACCATAGGTTGTTAAGGTGGCAGTTGAATCTTTCTTGGCATTAACATTGTTGTTGCTTCCATTGATGCCACCAATAGAGGCAGTGGTGGGAGTTGAATCTTTCTCGGCATTAACATTGTTGTCACTTCCATTGATATCACCAATGGAAGTGATATTAGTTCTACTAGAAGAAGGAGTTGCAAGTTGAAGATTTACAGGAACCAAAGTCAATAGATTGCTCTCCATATTAGGGCTGTCACTAGTGTTGATTGTTGTCGTAGTGTTTTTACAATTGAGTGTTGTGGCTGTGCAAGATTCAGAAGGAATTTTGGAAGCTTCCACATGCTTTCTTGAACGCAGCCGACCTCTGTGCATGTGACGTTGACAGTACTTCTGATCAGGAACCACTTCCCTGCTACACCTCCATTTCTTTCCATCAGTTCTTCTACACCTCCCTGGTTCAGGATCCATCATGCTCCTATAATCGGGGAACCCCTGAGGACTGAATCCTATGACTGAAACCAAACAGAAATAGAAAACCCGGGATCAACATCTCTTCGAAATCTTTGGAAACAAACAGGCAAATTCATTCTAACAAACAATTTCCACATAAACACATGTAAAAGACACCAAATTAATCTATTTAGCGTGAAACCAACTCAAATGTAAGTTTGATTAACTTATACATTTGGAAGAAAAAGAAAATGAAAGAACAACCTGGATTAAAATTTCTCAAATAAATCCACAGAATCTGCATTTAGACAAACATAAGTCTATCTCAAACACAGAGTACCCATCTTAAAAACCAAAATCTACATCAAAATTTCTTCCAAAACAGCCGGAAACAACAATAAATGTCAATTCAAGTAAACCCACCTCAAATACTAAACAAAAATGACCATGTTAAAACCCAAAATGCAGGTACATAATTTATACAAATCGCCATATTAGTATGATACACATAAAGCCAGAACAAATTTTAAGTGATGTTAACAAAGTTACATTGAAACAAAGATGTAGGCCACAACTTACCAAATAATTATCTGAACCAAAACAAAAAGCAATCTAACAAACTCAAGTCCATCCACAAACACAAACAAAGATGCATATCCAAATTTTATTAATACTTAAAATTTTATGAAAAATTCTGTACATAAATGGATTTCTTACTGATTTTCCTTACCATCAGACACACAAATGCAAATAACATTTTTTGATAAATTTCACTTTACACCCCTATACTTTACCTCCAATCCCACTTTGCCCTGCCTTCTTAATTGTCCCAGTAAACCCACACTTCGAGTCAAGTCGCAATTGGACCCATTTTTATAACGCTTTTCAAAATGCCACTTAATTCATCAATACCTTTTGCTTTTACCAAAACCTCACTTTAGTCCCTTCGCGAATTTTCAAAACATTATTATACGATTGCGCTCAATTATAACTCGACTCTATGTCTAGGGTTACACTGACAATTAAAAGGTCTGGAGACAAAATACAAGGGTACAAACCGTAATTTGCCCAAAAAATTAGGAGTGAAGGGTACAAACCGTAATTTGCCCAAAAAATTAGGAGTGAACATGGTTCGACTTAGTTTGATTTAAGAGTAAACCAGATTACTTACCGTTTCATAAAATTTGAAAAGAAACCAAACTTCGAAAATCTTAGAACCAAATCAGATCAAACCACTAAAATGCAATTCGGTTCGGTTTGAAACTGCAGCATCATTCACAGTATTCACAAAATATTATTTTTCTTAAAAATTATTTAGATGAATATTTAGATCTAGTTATCACTGACTTATGTATATATATTAATACTAATAAGATATTTTAGTGTTTATTTACTATAGTTAACAAATTATACATATATATATATATATATAAATTGCCCGGTTTGATTTCAAAACGGATCTGTAAGTATAAAATTATGGACCAAATCATAAAGTACGGTGTATCATAAAATAACCAAGACCGAACCGTATAATAGAAAAACCAAACCATACCGAGTGATTTGGTCTGGATCGGACCAGTTTGCGTTTTTTTCAATTTTAAAAAATATGTCTATATATATAGCATTACTCAAATTTTATACACAAAAAATAAAATAAAATAAATTTTCTCAAATTTTCTAGTCTACTAAACATTACACATCTCGAATAAAGAATTGCACAATTTCTTCACCAACAAACAAAAACCCACAGAAACAGAGCAAAATTGATAAAATTAGCTTAAACCCACTCACAAATTTCAAGTCTAAAACCGTAAAAATTAAATAAATAAGCAAATCACGTAACAAAAATAAAAACAAAAACCCCCACTTACAACTTGGATATAGGTTATAGATTCCAGCGTTAGCAGAGCCCCCAAAGGACGTAGCAACACTCCTCCAAATGGGGAAAATGAGATGAAACGGCACAGGCAGCCCAGCAGCTATGTACTTGAATATGAGATCCTGTTGATGGAACTCATGAAACTGTGCAGATGTGAACAACAACGCAGCAGCCGCAGGCTTCACGTGACTTTCCCCTCCAGAACAACAATCACCGATCCCCAGACCCAGTTTGATGGACGGTGATGATTCCTCTGCGATTGAACCCTCCTCTTCTTCAATCTTAATCAACCATTCCTTCTTCTTTCCTTCATTCAAATCAAAACTCAAATTAGTGCATACATATATATATAGAGAGAGAGAGAGGGAGAGAGAGAGAACCAGAGTCAGAAGGTTTGGGCTCCATTTTTTACATGTAAGAGAGAGTCTTAAACTGAAAAGACAGAGAAAACAAATGTGTGTGTGAGAGAGAGAGAGAGAGGGGGGGATGTTTATTTGTTTGGTTGTTGTTGGGTTGGGGAGGAGGGAGGGGCTTTAAAAGCGAGAGAGAGAGAACCGCGAAAAATGAAGATAACAACTCACAGTCACAGCGAGCATGCAGGAAGACATCTGGCAGTGGTAGAGAGAGAAAGGTAAAGATACATATAGATACGGTCATATGTAGAAATAGAGAGAGATAGTAAAGAGAAAGAGATGAGGGATATGGATGATGAGAGACAGAGATTAAAGTTGTTGTCAGGTGTCTGACTATGTGCAGGTTTAGCCTTTTGCAGGTGACTCTGGCAATGTTCAAATCAAATTCAACTGTTACATATATGAAAAGTATTAATAAACAATAGGATAAATTACACTTACACCTCTCATTTATTATCATTTTTCACTTTATTCTCTCCTGGTAAAAATTGATATATAATGTATAAAATTTACGTATAAATCTTATTAAATGAATTTAGAAAAAATTAATCTAGGGTCTCTCTCTTACTTTTTGTAATGGAAGAAATTTATAAAATTATTTTTTGATATTTAAGGTCCCTAAACATATATGAGAGAAATTTGACTGTTTGTCTCTCTAAACATATATTATTTTTTCAATTGCTCATGAAAAACTTCATACTGTGTAACACCGGTTTGCAGATATAGAAGCAGAAGAAGCAGGACAAGGAGTCCTGTATCAAGGAGCCCAATTCGCTACCGTGACCGCCGTTATAGCCGTAGTCCTATCCGCAGCCATTCTCCTATCGAGACATTTAGATTCCGTGAATCTCCACGTACTGAGAGGCAGAGGTCACCGCCTCGCAACAGGAGCTCATCAATATCAAGCTCCTCAGTCAACTCGCAATCACCTAAGCAGGCAAACAAAGACAGGTCAAGGTCATCTTCTGGAAGTCCCCCCTGAGAATGGGGGTTTGGTCTCGTATAGAAACGGTTCTCCTAACTCGGGCCAGAGGTAAGGATGTGTTTTGATGATTCTAGCAGTGGTCTCAACAAGCTTTAAAATGATCATGATGATAAAGGATCCAATATGTGAGGTGATCGCGATGATTGAAGATGCATGGACTTGTGGTGATGTTTTGACTTCGTTTAGGAGGTTGAACATGTTTGAGAGATGTATGTTGAATAATGATGGATGTTACATTATGTTTCAGTTAATTGTGGCAATGGATGTTCTTAATAGCCCATTTGCTTAGGCTGTCCTTTGAGGGTTAAAAACCTTTTTAATTAGAGAAAATCCAGGTACTTCGTTTGCAATTTTATTTATGTGAAAAGGAATGACGTTTAAGTTTTATTTGGGTGTGCTATAAGCAGTGGTGTGTTTCTGCTTTTAAATTTGATTTTTTTTAAATTATTAAAACATGCCCTTGATTTTACTTTTGTAGTAATTTTGTTATTGTTTTGTGGTAACATTTAAATTGAATTTGCATTTTGCTTCATTGCGTGGTTTGAGGTCAAGAAGTTGGTGTTGGATATTCTGGAATGATGGTTTCTAGGCCTCAATTTTATATCTACATTGAAATTGCAATCAGATGGTTCTGAAATTGAAGGCTATCAAAGAATTTCTCTGGAGGAAGAATTTGAATTTGAACTCAGAGAAATTGGTCTAAGGTCTGTCAAAATGATGATGATGATGATGATGATGAAGGCTATCAAAGAATTTCTCTGGAGGAAGAATTTGAATTTGAACTCAGAGAAATTGGTTTAAGGCTTGTCAAAATGATTTCATAAAATGATATTGTGATCCAGAGAAAATTGGTTAAAATGAATCTAGAGAAATTTGAATTTTCTCTGGTTTATAAATGAACGCAGAGAAATTTGAATTTGAATTTGAAACCAGAGAAAATTGGTCAAAATGAACCTAGAGAAATTTGAATTTTCTCTGGGTTGAACCCAGAGAAATTCTTTGGGAAGTCCAGAATTTCTCTGGAGTGAATTTTTCTGGATTGAAATTTCTCTGGATCAATGTTGAGGGACCTTAGACATTATGAAAATATTGAATGTCCTTTATGCTATAAAATCTTAATATCAGGGACCCTAAAAAAAACCCCATGAATTTATTGTCTAATAAATTATATAATAATTAATGATATTTTTTATCATACATTATTAAAAAAGTCACTAATTATAAATTTCAATGATAGTTTAAAATTTTTGTCACAAAAAATATCACTATTATAAGTTTTAGAAACAGTTTTTAAAAAAAAACATCACTCATTTTTAACTTTCAATGACAATTTAAAAAATTCGTTACAAAAAAATATCACTAATTGTAAGTTTTAACTACAATTTATAAAAGGTTCATAGGGAGATTTACCAATAAATTTCAAAAGTTGGTCTTATGATCCAGTTGGTCCCATTTTTGTTCTAATGATCCATTTAGTCTTGTCATTTGTGAAAGGACGTATTTGCCATCAACGCACAGATTACTGTATGCGTTACAATTGTATGTGAGTGGATGAGGTGTAGATGCGTGTAGCACACGGGATGTAAGCTATAGGGAGTAACTTGAGATATGTCAGGCAACACACATTGGAATCACTACAACAAAATTGAATTTTCACAGCTTGCAATGCATGCCGTAAAAACTCTTTCACGACATGCACACAAATGCCGTTATATGACATGCCGTGAAAAGTTGAGCGTCATTTACGACATGCAGGTAAAGTTGTAAAAAGTAATAAATTAAACATTAATGACATACTTTGTATGTTGTATATAATTTTTTACATGCCATAAATCATTATATTTTTCATGGCATAATTTTGCATGCCGTAGAAGGTTATTTTTAATATATTTATAACATGCTTTGTATGCCGTATATAATCTTTTACGACATTTTTTTGCATACCACAAATCATTACACTTTCACGGTATAATTTTACATGCCGTAAAAAGTTATTTTTAATATATTTATGACATACTTTGCATACCATATATAATCTTTTACGACATTTTCTTACATGCCATAAATCATTACACTTTTCATGGCATAATTTTGCATGTCGTAGAAAGTTATTTTTAATATATATATACACACACAAGAACATAACCTTGCCTAGCCGTATGCACATCCAAACAAAGGTAGTAGCTTATAAAGTGCGGCAACTTGTGAACAAACCAAGCAGTAGCTTATAAACTTAAAGTCCTAAATCTCTAAGGCATTATCATTTTTTTGGTAACACTGCTAGAACTATTTCAATAAATTTGGCTCTTAACCAAGTTAGCTAGACTCATGCAATGAAAAATGTAAGCATTTTCACTTCCATCATCTAATCTAACCTACATACAGATACATCTCTAACATAATCCATGTGGCAAATCAAATAGAAAAGAAATGTAGTGAACTTCCCTACTTGACAGCAACAGAAAATTAAGTACATAAATGTGGAAAATAAAACCAAACCTTGCTCAAAAGGGCACCTAGCTGGATCCCCAAAATATTGAAACAGAGATCAGATTGTTTTCTTGTTCATTTGGATCATATTTTCTCAAAAGCAACCCTTTAAATAAGGAAATTTGAAAGAAACAAACACATAAGCCTATTTATATGTGACAAAAAAGTGTAGAGATAGTATCAGAGAGGGAAAAGAACAGAGGACACAAGATCAAGTACAACTAAAAGCTATAGCACAGGTCTCAATGCTCAAAAAGTAATAACAATAATAAGATCAGAAGAACAGTTGAAACTGCATTTGGCTCTAGATAGGGGCTGAACTTGCATATAGCTCTGCATTTTGACGATTTGTGATTTTTTTCCTCATATTTATTGTCATTTACTATTACTACTACTAGTTATGTTTATTTAATTTTCAATGAATAGAGTACTAAAATTGGTTAAAGGATTTTTCTACCAAACCATGCTATTTTAATAACAGATCTTTCAAACTCAAACTCAAGCAATTTGGAATTTGTTTTCCAAACTCAAGAGGCACACAGAAATCTTGGTGCATATTAGGTTGATGCTATATGGAATTACATACCCCATCATATACATAGATGAAGCATGCTTTATGGCATGGCATATCACATTAATTTCTGTACATAAAAAAGGTTCCCATCGTATACATTCTGCTCATGGAAAGTCTATTAATTGTTTTCACCCAAATCTCATCCTAGGCCTAGCCCATAGGAAAGACTTAACTGTTTTGATATTGAGTGATAAGTATATAGGAGTTGAATTGGAGTGCAACTACTTTACATTTATAGCTATCGGGTAGAACTTTGTACCCATTATCTTTGATCTTTGAAAATGGAACACATACAGTAAACATATTTTAACAAAGTCCTCCAATGAGAACCCATCATAAGCACCAGCACTTCAAAGATTGCATTATTATTACACATCAACATAGAACTCAAAAATGTTAATATTCATACATATATGTGTGTATATAGACACATAAGAGGGGAACGAATGAGAATTACGTTGTCAACACTAAACAAATAGTCGATTTAATCAAACTTCTATAAAATCTCTAACTTCTATATAAACAAATAAATAATCACCTACAAAATCAAGGAGGTCTCAAATGCATGCTATATGAAAGCAACTAAAACCAGTTTGGGAACTTGAATAAACAGTGAGCAATGGTGGTACAAATAATAACCTTGACGTTATAATTATCTCTCTCTGTAATTTGCTGCAGGAGCTGCTGGTTTTGAGCTTGCATATCATCTTATGCCTGACCAATAGTCTGAAGAGAAACAATTGATAATCACAAGCCTTATTTAAAATTACATGAAGAGAAACAATACCGATAACCTCAGGCCTACTTCACAAACACATTGAAGACAAAACGCTCTCCCATATAACAGAGCAGGAACCTAACCTCTAATTCAGATATGTAGGCTTCATTTTCCTTATGTTTGGATTTCAGGATATCTGGAAGCCCGAACTTTTCCCTGAAATAGCATAGATAAAAAAATGTCTTCAGGTTTCTTATATATATATATATATATATCATGTTGCAGAGAACAAAACAAAACCAAAATAAAAATAAAGGATTGCAATCATGTGTAGCACCCATATAAAATGAACTAAACAATGCCAATGCTCAGCATCCATATGAACTTAAGTTAGTACCAAAAGGGTAATATCGATGAAACAATTGACATATCAAACTGTACCATAAAATAACTGAACATGAGAGATGGCCTCAGCTCCAATTGATATTTTAACCTGCAATTCCAGAGTTTGCTCATCAAGAGAGGACTTCAAGGTCTGAACATGAGCCCATGCCTTGTATTCAGAATCCCTAGCTTCAATGACATCCCTACAGTTGCAAAATTGAAATATAAGCAACCTACGTACATGTATTGAATTCAAAAAACCAACATTGAAAACCTAAGCAAGATACAACAGGTATGGTGGAGCTAGGATCCCACTTCACTTGTATTAACAACAACCAACTTTCATAGACATATAAAACAAACAAACAATCAGGTAAAGAAAATGAGATTTATTCAATCCCCCCATATTTATATATATATATATATATATATATTTTTTTAAAAAAATACTCAGAATTTGAAATGTTAAAATTCTGAGTTTTTTTTTTTAAACAATAAAAATTAAATTGAGAAAAGGGAAAAAGGAAAAAAGGCAGAGAGAAAAGAAAATGATCAAAAGGCAACAGCACTTTTCTGACAACATAACTTCTGCTTCTAGGATACACCAACAACTCCTTCCTAACATTAACACCGTTGTAATTGTTATCCCTAAACTCATAAGGCCTCTCTTCATCAATCCTCCCCATCCCAACACTACAGCTCCTTGGCACCACTCCCACCGCCGTGGACCGCCTCATCTACGTAATTATAAGATTCCATGTGCTCATAGAAAATTCTTACAAGCAAAAGGTCACATGAGCAGACTTTGTATGACTTTTTGGTTCATAATAATTTAATAAAATTGAGTAGGATTGGATTATCAGCTTCATAAATAATTTATCACATGATGCATTGATGCTTGTTGAGACAGACTTGTTCATGTTTGACCTTCTTATTAACTAATAGATAGCAATTATAAGAGTAACTAGTACTTCAAGCACACACTTCATCCCCTAATTTGCAAACTCATATTAATGAATTTATTATTGTCAGCCCAATAATTTTCAAGTAATTACATTAATTTTCTTTACAATAAATCTGTGTACAATGATTCTTCACAACAAAGTCAAGATATATACAAGTCCCTACGGATTGATTCTATCACATTCCTACCTAGTTCTTCAACATATTGTTTCCATCATCCTCACCATGAACTCTTCAACAACTTCTGTCCAGTTCTGTAGATTTTCATCAGATAATTTTTCTATGAACCTCTGCAAAATTATTGGAATTTCAGGACTAGTCCTCTACTTAGCAGAATTTCAGGAATTTCATCAGATAATTAACTAACCAGACCGAAAGGCAAATCAAGAGGTTGCTGTGACTTGGACGCAACAGACAACGGCAAATGGGTACAGATAGAGAGAGAGAGAGAAACAGATTGAAGCTTTAAATTACAATTACATTGAAGTGAACGCCAAACAGAATTGATGAATATCATTTTCCTAATATCTAGTCACAAATAATAATCCTCTACACACAAAATACAACTAATTGAGATTCCATCAAGAAGCATGAACATTGAGAGGGTAATTTTTGGGAAAAATTGGGCCGAGCTGTGAGTTGGGCTCTGTGGCCCAAAGTGTGAAGGACTCGGTAAAAGGTCGTAATGTTACTCCGGCCCAGTAGAGGTATAATTATTTCGGTTCAAGAAGATGTATAGCTACTCCGGTCCGGTCGTGATGTCTCCTGAATAGGTCGGCCTGGCGGTACCTTTGAGTTAGACCAACCTAGGAGTCATACCGGTCGCAATTTGTTAAGTCTGGTCCAACCGTGCCATGGGTTGACAGGAGAGAGCCGAGGTAAGGAGGAGTAAAAGCAGAACCGAACTAAGGTATTTCGGCCTGCTTTGTGGCTCAGTATAGCCAGCTTTACTTCGGTCAAAAATGATAGTTCGGCCATGTTGAAAACCATCCCACTTGGTTTAAGCAGTGGGGGGGGTGTAAAAGGATAAGCATTATCCTTAGGAGTATGAATCCTAGGAGGACTCTACATGGAGGAATACAAGTCCAACTAGGATTGTGCCACTCGAAACCTATAAAAGCTCACAAACATCACCTTGGAGGAGGTAACACACAATTTTTTTGAGAACATAGAGCTTTGTCTATTTGTCAAGTTTTCTGACTTAGGCATCGGAGAGGTTTCCGGCACACACCCGCCGGCTAGCTCACGTTTGTGTTTTCAGGTGAGAAAGCGACGTCGTACGGAGGAGCGTGAACTTGGTCAACAGGATTATACGAGAAGGCGTATTTCTTTCCCGTACAATTGGCGCCGTCTGTGGGAAGAACAGACAAGAACAAAAAACCTCTTAACTAAGCTTCTCCTTTTCTCAATCAATGGCACACATTGAAGAACTACCACAGTCTGCCGTCGACGGGCTAACTCCAGATGGGGGCGCAAGGCGTGAAGGATTACCTTCTGTCCCTCCCATGGCGGACTTGGAGCCCCAAAGACATACCTCCAGGAGGGATGCTAGGGGGAGACGGACTCACAGCCCCCGTCAGTCCCATTCTCAAAGTCCCGACAGACAAAGACGGAGGATTGACCCTCAAGCTCTGGAAGATCGCGTAAAAGAACAAGATGAATTGATAAAGAAGATGGCGGCAGACATGGAAGCCTTGAAGCGCCAGATAAAGAAAAAAGAAGTGGCGACAGGAGAGGGGTGCAAAAACAAGACGCCCCCTCGCCACTCAGAAAATCGTAGTAGGAATACTACACCTTCGCAAGGAGAAAACAGAAGCCTTAGGACAGGCGACACTCAATCCTGGTCTTCCAGAACTCGTCACTCCAGGTCTGAGAGGACGAGACCTGAAAGGTCATATACTGAAGGAAGCACATATTGGCCCTCACATTCACACCAAACCAGATCTAGACAGACAAAATTACCCAGATCATCCGACTTACGAACCGTGCTCGAAGAAAAAGCACGATGCAAGGAGGATGCCAGGGCAAGGGATCCACACTGAGTTTCTGCCTTACAGCGGTTGGCTCCTCGGACGCATGGAACCGTCGAGGTTGGAATGCCAACACCGCGCCCTGCCTACGAACCAACGGACAAAGCATTGGCAAGACTACAAACTTCGCCGTTTGTTCCAGCAATCGAAAACGCGCCCCTACCATCAGGCTTCCTTCAGCCGAAATTCACCACATATGAAAGGAAGACGGACCCGTACTCCCACTTGAGCCACTTCCGCCAAGTCATGGCTGTATACAGACGAAACGAGGCCTTAATGTGCATACTCTTCCCATCAAGCCTTGGCGACCTCGGCTTGACCTGGTTCGAGAAGCTCCCAGAGGGCAGCATAGCCTCCTGGGCTCAACTGGCAGAAGCATT